ATCTACGTACCAAGGTGCCCATCGAGGGCCAAAAGGTTCTAGGTACCCCAAAACACTGCTCCATGGGGCAGGAGGAGGTGGCCCAACACACGGCGTTCTAGGTCCCTGTGGGGCTGGTGCATAGACCGGGGGAGGTTCAGGCACCCCAAGACCTGGGGTGGGGGGGCCGTGTGGCCCCCCCCAGCAGCCCCTGGTGTGCCGGCAGGCGCTGGGGGTGGGCAGCTCCCAGGACCGCGCCGTGCTCAAGAGGAAGCTGAAGGAGCTGAGCCTGGCCGTGGAGAAGGAGCGCAAGGCCCAGGAGAAGGCAGAGAAGCAGCGGGAGAAGCAGAAGAAGAAGGACCAGGAGCAGCGGCGGAGCTAAGGGGGGGGGGGGCAGGGAGAGCCCCCATGCCCCCCCCCTCCCCTGCCCACTGCCCTCCCTGGGGGGGGGGCGCCTGGCCCCGGACACGCGGTGGTGGCGAAGGGAGCGCGGTGCCAGGCTGAGATGGGCACGGAGCAGCACGCGTGTCCCCCCCCCGCGTGTCCCTGTCCCCCCCCACTCTGCGTGTCCCCCCCCCCTCACCTGCACCCCATGGGCACAGACTGGGCCCCCCCCCGGGCCCCTATTCCGGATGCAAACAGCACGTTGGACCCCCCTCCCCCCAAACTTCATGCCCCCTCCCCAACCCCGGCTGCCCCCCCCCACCCCAAGGGGTCCATGGTTTTGGGGGGGGTCCCAGCTGCCCCCCCCCAGATCCACCCCGGCGTGGTGTGGCACCAGCCGAGGACAGTGCATGGCCTGACCCCCCCCCCCCCCCCCAGGACACGCACACCCCCAGTTGGGGTGCGGTAAGCGAATGCTGACCCCCACCCCTCCCACCCCCAGCCCCCCCCCCAGGTAAAAGCCCCCCCCGGCACGGGGGCACCCCAGGAAATAAAAGGGTATCAAGGGCCAGTGCAAACCAGTGTGAGCCTGACTGGGATGTGGGGTCCTGGCGGGGAGGGGGGGCTGTTTTTTTTTTTTGGGGGGGGGGCATGGAGCATGGCTGCAGCCCCCAAATCTCTCTCCCCCCCCCAAGTGCCACCAATGTCCCCAAGCCCCCAGCCTCTTCCCAAGCCCAAGGGGTAAACTGAGGCACGGAGCAGGAAAAGGGAATGCCATGGGGGGGGGACACGAAGTGGGGGGGTCCCAGGGGCCCCAAAAAGCCACCAGAGGCGCTCAGTCAACATCCGATTTACTGACAGCGTGGGGGGGGGGGGGGAGGATCCCGAGCAGGTCAGAGCATGCCTGGGGGGGGACAATCCTATATGGGGGTGGGCAACCCTATTGGGGGGGGGGGCACACACGGGTGAGGACAGCTCAGTAGTGCAATGCCAGGGACGGCACAGGGAGCTGGGGAGGGGGGCTCTGACCCGCTCCCCCCACCCTGTCACGGCTGGACGGGGGGGGTGGCAAAGTGCTACTGGTCATACTGGGAGGCTGGGGGGGGGGGGACAGCCCCTCACTGCCCCCCATGGGGTCGAACCCTCCCTGGGACGGGGGTGCTGGGGGGGGGGGGGGCGCTCCGATTAGGGGACCCTGCCGCCAGCCCCAGCCCCGTACCTAAATACAACCAAGGCTTGGAATTGGAGGTGGGGGGGGGTCCCAGCGGAGCCCCCCCCCCACTTAGGGCACGCGGTAGGTGGAGGTGTTTTTGGGTTCGGTGCTGGGCACGCACCAGTCCCCGGCCTCCTGGCTGGCCTGGTAGTGCCGCCACGCAGACTTGTTGTACACCGGCAGCCGCTCCACCGAGTCCGTGGACAGAGCCTGGGGGGACAGCCGGGGGATGGGGAACGGCCCCGAGACCCCCCCGAAACCCCAAGACCCCCCCCCTGGAGAAGGGGACGGGGGAGGACCCCCCACCTTTAGGTAGATGACGGCGTCGGTGCCGAAGCCCTCCATGGAGAAGAGCTGCAGGTCCCCCTGGAAGTACTTGGCGTAGAGGCGGGAGATGGGCAGCCCGTAGCCAAAACCGGCCTGGGATTTGGGGTTTGGGGGTTATGGGGTTTGGGGGTTATGGGGTCGGCACCCCAGGGAGCCCCCAAACCTCCCCACGCCACCCCAAGTGGCACCGCGCGCACCCTCAGGTGTCCACATGGCACCGCCGGGCATCCCCGTGCCAACCCCAGGGGTCCCCATGGCACCCCCAAGCACCCCCAAATGTCCCCGTGCCATTCCAAGCACCCCAAAATGTCCCCATGTTAACCCCAAGTGTCCCCATGTCACCCCCAAGCACCCCAAAGTGTCCCCATGCTCCTCCAGGCACCCCAAAATGTCCCCACGCCAGCCCAAACCTCACTATGCCACCCCCAAACGTCCTCGTGTTACAGCCAAGCACCCCAAAGGGCCCCCCTGCCACCCTAAACTTGCCCATTCCACCCCAAAATGTCCCTGTGCTAACCCCGAGCACCCCTACGTGACCCCACACCAACCCCAAGCCCCCCATACCACCCCCAAAATTTCTTCCCACAGCCCCCAAGTGCCCCCAAATGCCCCCGTGCCACCTCCAAGCAACCCCAAACATCCCCACATCACCCCCAAATGTCCCCATGCCACCCCAAAATGTCCCCATGCCACCCTCAAACCCCCCCAACCCACCCCAAATGCCCAAATGTCCCCCCCCAAACTCCTCCCACCACCCCTCAAGTGTCCCCAAATGCCCCCGTGCCACCTCCAAGCGCCCCCGAACAACCCCACACCACCCCCAAACATCCCCCAAACCACCCCAAACCCCCCCAAACCCCCTCCCAGCACCGTCCCGGGATCCCGTGTCACGTACCAGGGGGCACCTACCAGGGGGGCCCCCCCGGTGCCCAGCTGTGGGGTCGGAGCCGTGGAGTACATGTAGCTGAAGAGCCGCTCGATTTTGCGCAGGGGGACACCCATACCACGGTCACTCATCTGCAGGGGGGGACAGGGGGGTGACAGGGGGTGACAGGGGGTGGCAGGGGGTGGCAGACGCCCCCCCCGTGTCCCCCGGGGGGGGGCCGGTGACGCACCTTGATGGAGAGGTCCTCCTGGCCCAGGGCCACCATCACCCTGATGGCCGGTAGCCGCGGGCTGTTCTCGTGGCTCTCCACGGTGGCTCGCATGGCGTTCTGGGGGGGCGAGGGGGTTTAGGGACCCCATAAAATGCCCCCCCCCAAAATAAATCATTGGGGTCCTCACGGCGTTACCTTGAAGAGCTCGAAGAGCATGTGGTAGAGGTGCGAGGGGACGTAGACGATGCTGATGGGCTGCTGGGGGCTGCTCGCTGCGGGGCACAGCGCCGTCAGTGGCCCTCCCCAGCCCCAAAACAGCCTCCCGAAATCCTCCCCCACCCCCTGACCCCATAGCGGGGACCCCCCCCCAGGCCTCACCGTTCACCTCCTCGATCTCCAGGTCGGGCGAGGCCATGTAGTACTTGTCGCACAGCAGCTTGGCCATGTTGTAGGCGTCTGCGGGGGGGGGAGCGAGGAGGAAGGGTCGGCACGCTTGGCACCAAGGCTTTGGGACCCCCCCCTTTTCCCCACACCCCAAAATATTTTGCAGTTTTAGAGACCCCGCAAACCGCCGGGGTGACCCCAAAACACCCAGGCACCCCTTGGCTGAGGCTTGCCCAGCTCGTGACACGGGTGGCTCCCAGGAGAAAGGAGATCAGGGGGACCTTAAGGGACTGCACCCCCCCCCGTAAATCCCCTCCCTGATGCCGTGCCCCCCCCGGCGGGGTGGGAGCCGACCCCCCCCCGGCCCCACAGACCTCTCACCACGTTGGCCACGCTGCAGTGGGGGTCGATGCTCCCGATGTGCTTGGGGTGCGCCGGGTTGGTGCTGCCGTCAAAGAGCAGCGCTGGGGAGGTGCAGGGGGGGGGTGTTAGCGTTGGGGACCCCCATATAACCCCACAAAGACCCCCAGATTGGTGCCCCCCCCTCACCCCCAGCTGTGCCCAAGGCTGGGTTTAGGGTCCCTTATGGTGGGTGACGTGGGGACAGGGGTGGGCGCAGGGGCAGGGTGGGCACGCAGGGGACAGGGATGTGGGGCAGCCAAGGTGCACAAGCATTGGGGATGATGGGGACACCTGGGGACAACACGGGACACCCGGGGACAATGGGGGATATTTGGGGATGATGGGGACACCTGGGGACAATGGGGACACCTGGGGACAATGGGGGATATTTGGGGATGATGACGACACCTGGGGACAACAGGGGACACCTGGGGATGATGGGGACACCCGGGGATGGTGGGAGCAAGGTGATCCTGAGCACACAAGCAGGGCGCACGGGGCTGGTGGGGACGCTCGGGGCAGGGGTGACACCGGGGACAAGAGGGGACACCCAGGGGTGACAGGGGACACCCAGGGCTGGCAGGGTGCCCCAGAGGGGACTGGGACACCCAGAGCTGATGGGGACAATGGGGGCAGGAGCAGGATGCTCAGGACTGCTGGGGACACCAGGGACAAGGGGATGCTGAGCACACAAGCAGGGCGCACGGGGCTGGTGGGGACGCTCAGGGATGGGGGGACACCGGGGACAAGAGGGGACACCCAGGGGTGACAGGGTGCCCCAGATGGGACAGGGACACCCAGAACTGATGGGGACAACGTGGGCACGAGCAGGACTGATGATGGGACGCTCGGGACCACCGATGGGACGCTCAACGCGGGGTGACACCGGCGGCGCTCGGGGCCACCGAGGGGACCCCGGGGGTTGGCAGTGGGGACCCGGGGGGTGACGTTGGGGACCCGGGGGGTGACATTGGGGACCCGGGGGGGGGACCCTCACTGTGCTGGTTGATGAGCATGCGGATGGAGATGCGGCTCAGGTAGAAGCGGTCGAGGAAGTACTGGATGTTCTGGTTGGACACCGGGTCGTCCCCGTAGGCGTCCTTGTACTCGATGACGCCCTGCGCCATGGTGGGCACCACGTCGTTGTGCCGGTTGCGGATGGTGACCAGGGCGTCGGTGAACCTGGTGGGGACAGGGGGGGGGACACACAAGGCTGGGGGGGACACACAAGGCTGGGGGGGGGGCACCCGGTCCCAGCACGGCTCTGATCCACTCCGGGTTTTCCCAGGGATCGGAGGCATCACGGAAAACCCGACGTGGAATCCGGTGGTGCCTGTGCCAGAGGTGACAAGGGGGGGGGACACACCGGGGTTGTCACCCCCCCGCACTTACTGCCCCAGCGTGGCCTGGTCCTCGGGGTCCCTGTCGTGGAACTCCATGATGTCCAGCAGGCTCTGCACGTACCTGGGGAAGGAACCGGTCACCCCCCCCCCCGAAATTGGGGGCACCGGGGGTCCCCACTGCAGGGCGAGGGGCTCAGCACCCCCCCGGAGCGAGCGTTGCCCCATGAAGCCACCCTAGGAGGGGGGGCGGGGGGGGACACGTGCTTGCCCCATAGCATGGTGGCCCTGGGGACGGTGGGGACACAGATGGTGGGTGTGGGGGTCCCAGCGATGTGCCCCCCCCCAAATTCATGTGCTTTGGGAGAGGGGTTGGGACTGATCCTGCCACCCGCCCCCCCCCCGTCCCAAAATCTCGCAGGGCTGGCACGGGGACGCCACCAGCAAACAGCCCATCACGTGGCCGCGCTGGGAGAAGGTTCAAGCTGCCACCAGCTGGCAGGGGACATGGCCCTTAAAGGGACACCCAGAGCCTGTCCCCCGCACCCCCAGGGACACCCCTCTGTCCCCCCCCCCAGCCACCAGGGCTGGCTTGGCCCCTTCAGGGGGCAGGAGGCTGTGGCAAGGCTGGGGACCCCCCCTTGGCCCCGTGCTGGCAGCAGGTGACGTGTCCCCAAGCTGGCCGGCAGCCCGTGCCACCAAAGGGCTGGGTGCCACCCGTGCCTTGTCCTCGTCCCCGTGCCACCCCCCTGCCCCCCCCGCCCCCCAGCAGCACCCTCTGGATCTGCTGGGGACGAGAGCTGGTGGCAGGAGCGGC